CCACCAGCCTGTAGCTGTAGCTCTGCCAGTTTGCCCACATTCACATGAAATAAGATAGAAGTTTGGATTTAGGGATGTAAACAAATAATCGTCTTAGGGTTAATCATCAAACAATGATTTTATCAAATTGATAAAACAGAAGTTGAGGAAACTCTTTCTCAAACAGATCCCAAGGTAATTTCCAACTGTTTAATGTTGACAAGGAAGCAGAATAAAGTGGATCTATTTGTAAATATAAGCATTGGATCAGCTAAACAGCTCCCATTTAGCTGTGCTGCGAAGGGCAGCAGCATAACTTCTCTGCAGTATTTAAATGCGATGATAGAAAATAAGTATTGCTATTCCTCAGAGCAACCAGAAGCAGCTGTTTAAATGCGCTGCTAGCAGCATTTCAAGTCTGCAAACAGTTCATGCCATTCCCCGTGGATACCAGAGATAACTCAGGTGTTTAAGAACATTCCTGCCTTTCCATTAATCTCCAGAAAAGAGACTTTATCGCACCACGCCACACTTATAGTATAGAGGGAGACAATGAAGACGTACCTGGACGCTTTCCCGCACGTTGACCCAGCAGCCTGAAGTGACCCAAATCTGATTTTTTTTTTTTTGCCCACATGCGACCTGGATCTGATCTTTGCATGGCTGTCTGAACAACTGCGGTCCGATTTTTTCCAATGCGACCCAGGCCGCTTGACTATGTAGTCCTGAATCCGATACGAATCTGATCTTTTCAAATAAGATATGTATCGGCTGATATGTCTGAACAGCCAGGTCACATTCATCCGACCTGAACGGCATTAATACTCAACAAAGGTCACTATTCTGCATCTTGCTCGCATAAGTTGGAAGACAAACAAAAACCATGGTGGACGATGATGTGGAAAGTTATCCTGACTCCGCCAGATGGATTTGCTCCGCATATCCATCTGAAACCTTCCGTTGAAGTAATTTTGGGAAGGGACGAAAATACAGGTTAGCTGATTGGCCTATGTTGGTGATAGACGGGCCAAATAAACCAATCAAATCAACGAAGCATATGACGTACTAACAGAGCGACGACGAAGAGGAGCCAAACTCTTGCCGAAACCAGTCGGGGAAAGAGCAAAAACATCTTTTCCTCTGAGAAAAGCCTCCAGAGCAGTGTTTTGCTCTTCTTTCAGTGAAGAAATACTCTGTAATTCCGATAAAACTTGCACGATAGCCATGCTAACACAAGTTTCATCGGCTGAAGCCGCCATGTTCTTTAGACTGAACTGTTGCGCTTCTTGTTGCGTCACACCTCAACCCGCCTCAAAGCCAACGCTGATTGGACGTTCGTTTGGTGAACTGCTCCAAATTTTCTTTAACGGAGAGTCTCCAGACTGATCTGAGAGTGAAACCTTGAAAGCTCGCGAGATCAGGATGGTCTCACGAGGCTAGTGGAGAGTAGTATATATGTTTAACCATCTTAAAAAGATTGTGTTTTTATGGTTGGGAAAGCTAGATGTGCTCCAGCACTACCATCCATGTTTGCTTCCATAAACACAGAGCACACTTGCTTGTGACGTCATTGCCTGCAGTGTGAATGTAGCCTTAAAGAAAACAGAAAGCACCGGGTTGTTTGTCAGAGTTAACTTTGTGTCTGGATTAACAAAAAACAAAACAAATCTTTAGACCTTATCTGAAGAGCTCAAGCTATCTGCACCAAACAGGATGGAAGCTCTTGGTTTTAATGCTTTTATTGGTTATGGACATTTTCCTGACTTCTCAGCCACTGATCTCATGGTCAAATGTCACAAAACTATGTCATTTTTTGGTGGCTGGTCGACTGACTGGTGAAGCTTTTACTTTGAAGGGATGACTTTTTAGAATATTTTATAACCAACTGGGTTGGTAGGTGAGGAAAACCACACTAACTGGAATAATCAGACGGCTAATAACACCCAACCAGCTCTCCACAGCAGCTCAGAAGGCTAAAACTACAATTCTCTATAAAGCATTTGGTCTCAGTGCCGATACGCCACAATAAGGCCACATCCTTTCCACCAACGGCCATTCAATGCCCTGTTTTTCTCTGTCAACTCTCCAATTCCCCGAAAGAAGGGCACCATGAGCCAACTGCTCTCTGCTACAGGCAGCCTGTCCAGCAGTGACTGTCCATAGAAATCAGCCTCTACTTAACAAGTTTGGATACAACAGAACCAAGGTGTCTCAAAAAACATGCCGAATAAGTGTCTAAAGCACCCCACCCTCCATTTATTGAAAAAAAGTTCCAATTAAATTCATCTTTTTTAAATACTACAGCATTTTACCACAATCTGAGACTGAAAACCAGCTAAATACATTTACTTCCATCTGTCGTTGCTCCTGCCTCGTCTGTATGGATCTGCTGCTCCAGTTGGTTGGATCTTTTTAAATGTCACAGGTAAGGTCGCATTTTGGTGCCAGCTGATCGACATATTTTT